GGAAGCACCTTAAGAGGAGGGACGCTCGCCATGGTATAGGGGATGAACTTATTCTCTCCCTTTCTCACTTCAGCTTCACTGGCCCCTCCGCGATTCTTTTGTTCCACCTCTTTTTTCTCTCCTTCCTTTTTGGCTTCGTACCTTATTCACTCTCCTGCTCCTCCTTTTTTTTACCTGATAGTCATCAGGCATCGATCCGCTCCTAGAATTTTAACGTACCGTAATGGACTTTAGGGATATTGTATTTATACGTACCTGTTACCGAGTCCAGGCTTTACTCGGCATGCCATCTCAAAAGTCCCTAGGGAAAATTCCATAGGGAAAAGTCCCATCTCATCTTCTTCGTCCGTGATACTCTTGAATCTTCCAGGAATTTCAGATACGACAATCCCACTACCAGGTCCATACCTACGTCTCCGGACCTGTCCCAGCATCCACCCGTCCAAGTATGCAACCAGCTTCGAGATATCTCGTGCTCAAGTTGGTACGTTCTATTTTGCAATTTCCTAATGTTTCCCCGTTGTCTTCTGCTGTCTCGACGGATACTACAATTTTCTGACTATCTCCGGTAACCGTCTCTTTGTATATATATATATACGTGTGCCTGGACGTAAAGGCGGGCACCCACGTAACGATATTTCAATTCGTCAAGTACATTTAACCGTTTGGCTATTCCGGTCCTCGATACACAAGGAACAAAGACCCTCTCTCGAGAAACGTATTTACAAAGGTAAAATGGCACTGGCACCACCTACGTATACCAGTCGTACAAGTTTGAATGCAGGAGTTAGCCAAACTCCCATTTTCATTCGAGCGACAAACTTTGTAAACAGTTGAATCGCCCGAGTTACAGATTCACTGTAGCTCTGTGCCGCTCAATGGGGAATCTATTATCGGACCGAGCATAGCTCTATACCTTATACGTAATACTTGGTACACCTTATATAATACTTACGTAGGTAAATGCTAAACCTGTAGCTACTTTACATGGTCCAAAAGCCTTATATAAATTTTTAACAGATGTTCCCTGTTACGCGCATCCATCCACGTGTCAGCCTCGAACTGACGATTTCTTTTATTATATTTTTCTCACACTTTTACACAGACTTCCCCTTTGTTAAGCCCTTGGCACTATCGGTACCACTGACTCTGAATATAATGACAAAAATACTCCTAACGCACTATATACCAGACAGGCATATTGGTATCCTTGTAAATATTCGCTAGTACACATAGATTTATAACCTTACCAGTAACTAGACGGAGATCGTATTAACATACCGAAGGAAGCTGTATCGAGTTTCCAGCGTCATTTAATCTCCGTGATATCGCATATTTCTCAAATACTTGACAATGTCATAAAAAGGTAAAATATGCATGTACGTGGCAGCATGGCAGTTGCTTATACGGGTACTAGAGTTTCAACATAACTCTAAGGGTGTTAGATGCGAGTTCTACAGTCGTTCGCAATATCGCATTGCTCACGTGACGAGAGCTTGAGGACAGTTTGAGACGCGCGACTAGGTTATCCCTCTGACTACGTAAGCGCATTGCGTGAAATTACAAGATTTTATTACCACCCGTAAAGCGTGTCGCTAGTGTCGCCAGTGGCGCTACTGGCGGGACATGGTAGAACTTACTGCGCGACGATGTTATTGCGAGACGCGTGTTGCGCCCTCTTTCTCCTCGCTTGGTACATGCATGCGCTGGATATATATCTATATACATTTACATATATATAGTAATACTTGTATAGTTATAGATAACAGCACCCAATCTACGTGTACGCGTTATAATCGCTATGGAGTATACAACCCGGACTCCCTTCCTCCCCTCGATGGTCATCCCTCTTCGCGGAGACAATTGCAATCCTCGTCCTGTTTATTATACAGAAGTTTCATATTTATTCGAGGATCCTTGGCTGAGTTCGTTATTGCTTCTCGTTTAATTGGAACTTTCTGATTGGATGTCGTTGAAATTTAAATTCTCCAGGTACTCGGCGGTTGGTCGTTGCAGAAAGCTGATGAGTGATGGCTGTTGATTTTATTTACGTAGGGCCAACGACTTCGACGCGGTGGGTGGGTGGGGG